TCTCGACAAAAAAAAATTTGAAATTTCATCATTTTAGTAAGAAGGTACCCCCCTTATGATTTTTTCGGAAAACTTTCAAAGGTCGTAACTTTTTTTCTATTATATATAGAAAGCTGAATCTTTCACTGAATTTTATCCCTTCCAAAGGACTACAATCCCTGAAAATTTCAGCTCATTTGCACTTATAGTTCCTGAAATAAAATCGTGATAAGCAATTGGGGGTGATTTATCAATTTTTCAATTTTTCTGAGTGCCTTTTTTCATAGATTTCGGCTTCAAATCTGAGAATAATTTTGTCTATGGAGTTCAGGGTACCACGAGGTACCATTAAGACACTAAATCTCGACAAAAAAAAATTTGAAATTTCATCATTTTAGTAAGAAGGTACCCCCCTTATGATTTAGATTTTGGAAAACTTTCAAAGGTCGTAACTTTTTTTCTATTATATATAGAAAGCTGAATCTTTCACTGAATTTTATCCCTTCCAAAGGACTACAATCCCTGAAAATTTCAGCTCATTTGCACTTATAGTTCCTGAAATAAAATCGTGATAAGCAATTGGGGGTGATTTATCAATTTTTCAATTTTTCTGAGTGCCTTTTTTCATAGATTTCGGCTTCAAATCTGAGAATAATTTTGTCTATGGAGTTCAGGGCATCACGAGGTACCATTAAGACACTAAATCTCGACAAAAAAAAATTTGAAATTTCATCATTTTAGTAAGAAGGTACCCCCCTTATGATTTTTTCGGAAAACTTTCAAAGGTCGTAACTTTTTTTCTATTATATATAGAAAGCTGAATCTTTCACTGAATTTTATCCCTTCCAAAGGACTACAATCCCTGAAAATTTCAGCTCATTTGCACTTATAGTTCCTGAAATAAAATCGTGATAAGCAATTGGGGGTGATTTATCAATTTTTCAATTTTTCTGAGTGCCTTTTTTCATAGATTTCGGCTTCAAATCTGAGAATAATTTTGTCTATGGAGTTCAGGGTATCACGAGGTACCATCAAGATACAAAATCTCGACAAAAAAAAATTTGAAATTTCATCATTTTAGTAAGAAGGTACCCCCCTTATGATTTAGATTTTGGAAAACTTTCAAAGGTCGTAACTTTTTTTCTATTATATATAGAAAGCTGAATCTTTCACTGAATTTTATCCCTTCCAAAGGACTACAATCCCTGAAAATTTCAGCTCATTTGCACTTATAGTTCCTGAGATAAAATCGTGATAAGCAATTGGGGGTGATTTATCAATTTTTCAATTTTTCTGAGTGCCTTTTTTCATAGATTTCGGCTTCAAATCTGAGAATAATTTTGTCTATGGAGTTCAGGGTATCACGAGGTACCATCAAGATACAAAATCTCGAGAAAAAAAAATTTGAAATTTCATCGTTTTAGTAAGAAGGTACCCCCCTTATGATTTTTTTGGAAAACTTTGAAAGGTCATAACTTTTTTTCTATAATAGATAGAAAGCTGAATCTTTCACTGAATTTCATCCCTTTCAAAGGACTACAATCCCTGAAAATTTCAGCTCATTTGCACTTATAGTTCCTGAGATAAAATCGTGTTAAGCAATTTGGGGTGATTTATCAATTTTTCAATTTTTCTGAGTGCCTTTTTTCATAGATTTCGGCTCCAAATCTGAGAATAATTTTGTGTATGAAGATTGAGGGATGTTGATTGACCATTAGGATACAAAATCTCAACAAAAAAAATTTTGAAATATCATCGTTTTAGTAAGAAAATCTATAGTTCGAAGGTCCAGAATACAAAATATACAGAAAAGGCAACAAGGCATGCCTCCAAACATTAAAGGTAACAACAAAATTTTCCTTGAAAAGCCTCAGAATCAGACCCCAAGAAAGATTCCAAATACGGAATTGGAAACCGACAGTTTCTTCAAGAATAGACTTTCTATGTAAGAGTCCATATCTACATATTTGAAGATGTTTTAGGTAAAAGATTTGCCACAGACTAATGATCATTAAGTTCTGGAGACCTGAAAATAAACTTAGGGTCAAGTTGTTTGACGAAAGGGACTTTGATCAACCAGGAATGCACGAAGAAGAATTCCGAAACTCGAAAAAAGTAGATGACATAGGGGAACATTTGAAAGAAGCAGGAACGGAATAGCAAATATGGAAAACAAAAAAGAAAATAGCATATAAGGGAGGATTTTCATGCATCCGTTTTTCCGTCGAAATATGTCCGAAAAGTCTTCTATTTTGACATATTTATATACGATTATGTCAGAATAGAATGTTTTTCGGACATATTTCGTCGGAAAAACGGATGCATCAAAATCCTCCCTAAGAAGTGCAAGTACAACGTATTTAATGAGACACAGAGGAAGTCTTGACCGATGGGAAACGATATACAGAAATCAATAAAATAATACAGACAATTCTCAAAAGAGACATGAAGAAAAACAGAGACGCAATGATAAAAAGAGTCATAGAGGCCTGAAATACGTGGAAACCGGGACTCGAACAAAAGTATACACTTAATAGAAAAACACAAAATCGTTCCAGTTGTGGAAAGCTTAAAATTTACATTTAAATTTAAATTAAATTTAAAAGTTTCTTTTCTTCTGGTAATGGATTTGGAATATTGAAAGCTTGATTTATGTGTAAAAAATCCAAACTAGATAAAATTTTTGGACCATAATTCCAAAGATTATTTTCAATCATTTGCGATGGATTTGAGCCTATTGAAAGAATATCCGCAGGGTTCTCTTTAGTATTAATGTATAGCCAAGAAAAGTCATTAGTTAAATTTTGAATTTTTATTATTCGATTAGCAACATAGGGATTCAACTTTATAGGATTGGATTTTATCCAAGCCCAAGTAATATTGGAATCGGAGTAGGTATAACATAACTTGATCTATTTTTGATTTTAATAAATCGTAAACAGAGTTTACAAGAGTTCCCAATAATAATGCACTATTTAATTCCAGTCTAGGCATAGTTAAAGTTTTCTTTGTGGGCACAATTCTAGACTTAGAACAAACTATACTAACATTTGCAAAATACAAATATCGGGAAATCTGAACATTAGGCATTTTAGAAAAACTAGAAAGAAAGTCTTCCACCATGTCACCAAAATGGGTTCTGCTAATTTCGAAATAAAACTGAGGCCTTATAGTTTTTAAACTACCTAATGAAAATAACTCACATTTGAGTGAGTCAGGTTAACATCGTAATTAAACAACATATTGATGAATAGATGGCTGCTCAAAAAGTATTTCTAAAACAGCATTCAATGTAGACCATGGACATTACGAATACACACGTATGCCCTTTGGTTTAAAAAATGCTCCTGCTACATTCCAACGAGCAATGGAGAATGTTTTACGAGGATTACTGGGAAAAGTCTGTCTAGTATATAGGGTGTTTGGCGGAGGGTTAGCCAAACTTGGTGGGCCTATAGATAGGCTCATTTCGAAGTTATTTTCTTTTAACTTCTGTAACTTTTTAACTTTCTGATATTATCAAGGATACCCTATTTTAAAAAAGTTACAGAAGTAAAAAGGTTCATTTTTGAAAATTCTTGAGAACAAATGATGAAAAAAAATGGAACTTAAGGCCTCAATTCTTCGAAATGGGCCTATCTATACGCCCACCAAGTCTGGCTAACCCTCCGCCAAACACCCTGTATATGGATAATATCATTATCTAATCAACCAGCCTTCAAAAACAACATAAACTCCTTGACTGAAGATATCGATACAAAATTAAATAAAATCAAAAGTAACCAGGAAACTTAAACCGAGTTAATGATTTCATGACAATAATAACGTAGTCTGAGACAACAACGACGTAGGTACTTCATTCTCTCACTTGATGACTTGATACGACCCCTATGCCTATTAAGATTTGAAGGGTTGTTCTTCCCCTAGCTAGGAAGAAGCTACGGGGATGAAAAAAACTGAGAAATAGTTCCCTTCAAGTCAAAAATCGACAGGTCCGAGCGTTTTTCCAGATTTTCATCCCAAATCCAATAAATCGGGGTGGACTGTTTTGCCTGGGACATCCTGTATATAGCATGCTACTGAAAACATATTCCAAATAACACAATCTTAGAGATAATCTCAAGGATTTCCATCCACAAGAGTAAAAAAACTAGAGTGTACTATTTTAGATTTGGACGAGAATTTGAATTATTGTAATGGTATTGTCAAATATTGCAAGCGTATTGTAGACTATTATGAGTGTATTGTTGACTATTGTGAGAGTATTGCAGATAATTGCAAAAGTATTGTGGGACATTGCAAATTATTGTAAACTACTGCAAGTATTGTGCACTTATTGCAAGTTATTCTATTCCAAGGCATTGTGGGCTATTGAGAAATTACTGCCGCAAATCTTACTAATCTAAGAGTCTTTTCTGAGTAATTTGAACTCGCCTTTATGTTTACAGATTCGGAAGATATATAGGGTGGACGAAATAGAAAAAAGTTGCGCAATCAACTTCCTACAAATAATGCCTCGTACTTCAAGTTTGGACACCCTGTATTTGAAGTTTTCACCCTTTTGGTTTGAAAAATGCACGGTCCACCAAAGAAATAACGCCACAGCATGTACCAAAACCTATTTAGACTGGTCAAACTGTAAAATGGACCAAAAAAGTATTCCTAAAAACAGCATTCAATGTAGACCGTGGACATTACGAATACACACGTATGCCTTTCGGGTTAAAAAATGCTCCTGCTACATTCCAACGAGCAATTGATAATGTTTTACGAGGATTACTATTAGTAAATAATTATTTACTTTTTTCTTGTATCATCAGGCAACAAAATTCAATTGGACACCTGCCTATATACCGGACGTATAGATATAAAGGCAAACCGCAGCTTAAACAAAACCACTTCCTGTGCAATGTTTATATTACGCAAAACTTGAAACCCACTCTTGGTTTGGAACATTCAAGAATAATTGGCCTATTGCTATAGCTGCACCATCATTTAGTTGTTGTTGTTGTCGATTTGACCTGGTATCGAGAGAAGCCCCAGCCGCGGTCCTTTCGAGCCGGCTCAGGCACACGGAACGAGTATGCGTCAGTCGGAAGAATCCAGTTACGACGAGCGGACAGCGAGAGGATTTTTTTTATACCGAGAATTTTTCGAAAAATCGAATCGCGAAGTGTGAGTGCGGTGAGAGAAACCATAATACCCACGTCTCAACTGGAAGTTTTTACATTATTTATTGGATATTTTTATTAAAGGGGTAAGATGATGTTTTCATAGCTTCTTATTGGAAAAAATCCAAATTCGTACCTACAAAAACATTTTCTACCTGTTTCAACAATATAAGGGTGTGTAACCCTTGTGTAAACCGAACCAAATAATCTACTTAAAAGCTTAAACCCCCCTAGGGTTTCCGGTAATTTTTTAAAGGGCAGTGATTTTGCTTCATCGATTCTCTTAACCTAACCCAACAGCAGCTACGACGTCACTGCAGGCAAGAGTTCTACGCCACTGATGACGCTTTTGGTACTCGCAGTTGACGACCTTCGTCTTCGGTTTAACGTACCGTAGTAGTACCGCCAACGGTCTTTCTGCTGAAGAATTTCTTGATCAAAAAGACTCAAGAGAAAGAAAGGAATTTCATTATTTGATAATGAATTATTTACATTTACTTAAAATCAATAAACAATAATTGCCTGATACATATTTACAAAAGTATAGTATGACCAGCAGGTGTAGAATACACTTTTTCACACGAAAGCTTAAAAGGTTTAATAAAAGAAGCTTTCAGCCCTTGATTTATGAACCACCATCAGGGCTTTGGACACGTATTCAATTCAATACACAAGTAGTTTACAGGTGTATACAAAATATTCCCTATGATTTATGAAGTTGGGAACTTTAATTTTCGGGTGTAAACTTTTGCAAAGCAAAATTCGAACGAACAAGCATTAGGTATGAATGTGACACTTGTAAAGCAAAGTTTTGCACTTCGTTAAATTAGAACTTCCATGAGGATTCTTAAAGGGGAAACATTATTTAAAAATCATAATAAATCTTTGTGTATAAGACAACGAACAAGAAAACCGCTTCTTTTCTCCGACAAAACAAACAAGAAGAAGAAAGACGGCCAGAACGCAACAACGGGTCTTTTAAACATTTTTTCGGGTTTTCAACGAATTAATTTATACACATTTACAGAGTCGTTTTATGTGGTGTAAAATTAAAGTCTCACTACTGAGTTGTGTCCTGTCACTTCAAACTTTTTATCAAAATATTCATTATTCAGCTGTACCTACCTGAGTACTTGAATACTTTTCAGGATTTGTATTGTACATCCTAAACTATCTAAGTCATTGAATGTCATCTGGTGACTCAATTGATCCGAACGCTCGGTGTTTCAAGACAAATTCACTTGATTCGAATCAAGATTCAGGAATATTCAAAAATTGAACATTCAGAAAGATACGCGTGTGACGTTAGCACCCGATTATCAGTAACGATTTTTCAGGAGGAGCACATGCATTACCCCTTTGTATAAAGTTCTAACATTTTGGACAAATATTAGTGATAAATGATAAAAATACCCTACCGTCATACCTTCATTTTAAAACAAAAATTAGAGTGATACATCTCCTATTTTTCGGGGTTGCTAAATTGTTTTTTTTATCCCTGTTCTTCTAATTCAAAAGAAAAAAGACGAAAGATGCTCCGAGCGCTCAGTGTTTCAAGATAAACTCACGGATTGTGGAATTATTGAGTGATTATTCCCGGCACTTGATTCGAATCAAGATCCAGGAATATTGAAAAATCGAACATTGAGAAAGATCAGCTCAAAGTGCGGATGCAACTATTGGGGGCTCAGTGATGAAACTTTGAGGCTCTATTCTTGGAGGTTTGAGGAAGAACATACTAAAAATTCAAGCTGATCAAACCGCTAATAATATAGTTACGAATTTTCCAAATTAGGCAAAAATGAATACATCGATAAGTCTCTATTTTGGAATTTTTACCTCAAAAACTATCAGAAGCTCAGAGATGAAACTTTAAGGCTCTATTGTTGAAGGTTTGAGGTAAAACATACTAAAAATTCAAGCTGATGAAACCGCTAATAATAAAGTTACGAATTTTCCAAATTAGGCAAAAATGAATACATTGACAAACCTCTATTTTGGAATTTTTACCTCAAAAACTGTCGGGGGCTCAGAGATGAAACTTTGAGGCTCTATTCTTGAAGGTTTGAGGTGAAACATACTAAAAATTCAAGCTGATCACACCGCTAATAATAAAGTTACGAATTTTCCAAATTAGGCATAAATGAATACATTGACAAGCCTCTATTTTGGAATTTTTACCTCAAAAACTATCAGAAGCTCAGAGATGAAACTTTAAGGCTCTATTGTTGAAGGTTTGAGGTAAAACATACTAAAAATTCAAGCTGATGAAACCGCTAATAATAAAGTTACGAATTTTCCAAATTAGGCAAAAATGAATACATCGATAAGTCTCTATTTTGGAATTTTTACCTCAAAAACTATCGGGGGCGCAGAGATGAAATTTTGAGGCTCTATTCTTGAAGGTTTGAGGTAAAAGATACTAAAAATTCAAGCTGATCAAACCGCTAATAATAAAGTTACGAATTTTCCAAATTAGGGGAAAATGAATATCTATATTGACAAGCCTCTATTTTGGAATTTTTACCTCAAAAATTATCGGGGGTTCAGAGATGAAACTTTGAGGCTCTATTTTTGAAGGTTTGAAGTAAAAAATACTGAAAATTCGAGCTGATCAAACCGCTAATAATAAAGTTACGAATTTTCCAAATTGGGCGAAAATGAATACCTATATTGACAAACCTCTATTTTGGAATTTTTACCTCAAAAACTATCGGGGACTCAGAGATGAAACTTTGAGGCTCTATTCATGAAGGTTTGAGGTAAAACATACTAAAAATTCAAGCTGATCAAACCGTTAATAATAAAGTTACGAATTTTCTGAATTAGGCAAAAATGAATACATTGACAAGCCTCTATTTTGGAATTTTAACCTCAAAAACTATCGGGGGCTCAGGGATGAAATTTTGAGGCTGTATTCTTGAAGGTTTGAGGTAAAACATATTAAAAATTCAAGCTAATCAAACCGCTAATAATAAAGTTACGAATTTTCTAAATTAGGCAAAAATGAATACATTGACAAGCCTCTATTTTGGAATTTTTACCTCAAAAACTATCGGGGGCGCAGAAATGAAACTTTGAGGCTCTATTCTTGGAGATTTGAGGTGAAACATACTGAAAATCAAGCTGATCGAACCGCCAATAATAAAGTTACGAATTTTCCAAATTAGGCAAAAGTGAATACATTGACAAGCCTCTAATTTTTACCTCAAAAACTATCGGAGGCGCAGAGATGAAACTTTGAGGCTCTATTCTTGAAGATTTAAGGTAAAACATACTAAGAATTCAAGCTGATCAAACCGCTAATAATAAAGTTACGAATTTTCCAAATTAGGCAAAAATGAATACATTAACAAGCCTCTATTTTGGAATTTTTACCTCAAAAACTATCAGGAACGCAGAGATGAAACTTTGAGGCTCTATTTTTGAAGGTTTCAGGTAAAACATACTAAAAATTCAAGCTGATCAAACCGCTAATAATAAAATTACGAATTTTCCAAATTAGGGGAAAATGAATACCTATATTGACAAGTCTCTATTTTGGAATTTTTACCTCAAAAATTATCGGGGGCTCAGAGATGAAACTTTGAGGCTCTATTTTTGAAGGTTTGAAGTAAAAAATACTAAAAATTCGAGCTGATCAAACCGCTAATAATAAAGTTACCAATTTTCCAAATTGGGCGAAAATGAATACCTATATTGACAAACCTCTATTTTGGAATTTTTACCTCAAAAACTGTCGGGGGCTCAGAGATGAAACTTTGAGGCTCTATTCTTGAAGGTTTGAGGTGAAACATACTACAAATTCAAGCTGATCACACCGCTAATAATAAAGTTACGAATTTTCCAAATTAGGCATAAATGAATACATTGACAAGCCTCTATTTTGGAATTTTTACCTCAAAAACTATCAGGAGCTCAGAGATGAAACTTTAAGGCTCTATTGTTGAAGGTTTGAGGTAAAACATACTAAAAATTCAAGCTGATGAAACCGCTAATAATAAAGTTACGAATTTTCCAAATTAGGCAAAAATGAATACATCGATAAGTCTCTATTTTGGAATTTTTACCTCAAAAACTATCGGGGGCGCAGAGATGAAATTTTGAGGCTCTATTTTTGAAGGTTTGAGGTAAAAGATACTAAAAATTCAAGCTGATCAAACCGCTAATAATAAAGTTACGAATTTTCCAAATTAGGGGAAAATGAATACCTATATTGACAAGTCTCTATTTTGGAATTTTTACCTCAAAAATTATCGGGGGCTCAGAGATGAAACTTTGAGGCTCTATTTTTGAAGGTTTGAAGTAAAAAATACTAAAAATTCGAGCTGATCAAACCGCTAATAATAAAGTTACCAATTTTCCAAATTGGGCGAAAATGAATACCTATATTGACAAACCTCTATTTTGGAATTTTTACCTCAAAAACTGTCGGGGGCTCAGAGATGAAACTTTGAGGCTCTATTTTTGAAGGTTTGAGGTAAAACATACTAAAAATTCAAGCTGATCAAACCGCTAATAATATAGTTACGAATTTTCCAAATTAGGCAAAAATGAATACATCGATAAGTCTCTATTTTGGAATTTTTACCTCAAAAACTATCGGGGGTGCAGAGATGAAATTTTGAGGCTCTATTCTTGGAGATTTGAGGTGAAACATACTGAAAATCAAGCTGATCGAACCGCCAATAATAAAGTTACGAATTTTCCAAATTAGGCAAAAGTGAATACATTGACAAGCCTCTAATTTTTACCTCAAAAACTATCGGAGGCGCAGAGATGAAACTTTGAGGCTCTATTCTTGAAGATTTAAGGTAAAACATACTAAGAATTCAAGCTGATCAAACCGCTAATAATAAAGTTACGAATTTTCCAAATTAGGCAAAAATGAATACATTAACAAGCCTCTATTTTGGAATTTTTACCTCAAAAACTATCAGGAACGCAGTGATGAAACTTTGAGGCTCTATTTTTGAAGGTTTGAGGTAAAACATACTAAAAATTCAAGCTGATCAAACCGCTAATAATATAGTTACGAATTTTCCAAATTAGGCAAAAATGAATACATCGATAAGTCTCTATTTTG